TAATTATTCTTTTTGAATTCTAATGGCAATGAAACTGCTTTCAATTTAAAACAAACAAACAAGCACATTTACAGAGTGACAATAGTAAAATTTTCCTAAAAGCACACATTGATTTGAAGTCAAGGAAATAACTTAAGTTTGAGGAAATTTCACAGTTTCTGTTACATTTTCTCGATGATTGAATGAATAGCTGTTCTGCTCCTAGCTATTTGTAGAGCAATTGCTCTCTAAATCTCAAAGAAATTATCTGAAGTCTGACCTCCCTGAGACAGCTAGTTGCCAGAGCACTGCCCCTGGAAGCTCTTCTTCCTGTGTGTTGGGCGTTGGATTTGAAGAGATTGTGTCAGCACCTCAGCTCATTCACTTGTTAACGCACAGCCTTGGGCAAACTTTTGAAATCTCTCTGAGCTTTAATTTTTCATTTCTTGAAAATGTGAGTAATAATTATTTTGCACAGGTTACTTGAGTATATCATATGTTCAACAAGTTACTGAATACCTACTTTCAGTGACAAATATGTTAGATGCTGGGGATTTTCAAAGGTGAATGAACGAAGATCTTAACATTATGGAATTTAAGTCTAGAGGGTAGGCATGTGTTTATGAAACAATCATGTAAATAAATGTATGATTACAATCCATGTAACAGGAGCACAACAGAAAGGGACCACATAGCTTGGAGGACTAGGGGTAGGAGTCATCAACAAAGTGTTCTCTGAGGAAGTGAAGTTGAAGCTGAGATCTCAAGGCTAATTAGGCATTAACCAGATAAAATACAGGTAGATGTTTGTTCTAGGCTCCTTCATTCTGGAAGGAAATTTCTTGTTGGAGTCTGAAAGAGAACGGGTCTGGTTGTAGCATAGAAAGTAAAAAATAAAGACATGGTGTGAGATGAGATGGGAGAGGTAAACAAGGGGCCAGAACATACAGGTCTTATAAGGATTTTTAAGAATATTGGTCTTTAGCACACGAGCAATGCAATGCTACTTAACGTTTGCCTTCTGAAAAGATCGCCCTGGTTGCTTCATGGAGAGTGAATTGTAAGACAGCAGGAGGATTCAAATATTGGACAAGTTGAAAGAGTGTTAGTTCTGTATCATTTAGTAAACTGAATAAGCTGTCATGACAGAAAGACCCCATAATAGAATGGCTTACAGAAGGCAGGAGCTTATTTCTATTTCCCATAATGACAGAGAGGTAAGTGCTGGTGGGCTGCCTCTCCTCTGTGAGGTCATTCAGAGAGCCAGTATTTCCTGAGTCTTGTAGCTTACATTCTTTGCTCCTCAGCTATTGTTCTCATCGTATAGTCATAGCGGAGTCATCTCCATGCTGTCATTTCAACACAGATGTTGAAAGAGAAATGAAGGGCATGAACTACGATTTATGCAAGTGTAGGATTTGCACACATGACTTCTGTTAACGTCAGTTCATGGAAATTTAGTCACACTGCCACAGGAGGAAGCTGGGAAGTGTCTGTGACTACGTTCTTCTGTATTATTAAAACTTAAAGGTCCCTGGTGCTAAAAAGATGTGGAGAATGGATAATGAGGGATGGTTATAGTCTGCATGGGGGCAAGAGGAAGAAAATTCCCTCAAACAGGAGGAGAAATGCATCATTTACTGTAATTACAGGAGGGAAGGAGAAATTGGTGCAGTTACAGGTTTGGCAGAAGAACCTAATAATATGAATAAAATTCATATTATAGCCGCTGTCACATAGCAGGAGCTGAATAAAGGCTAAGTATTGATGGTAATACTAATCATAGCAATATTATTAATACTATAATGAAAATGACCATTTGAATAATGTGATTTCTTATTAAATTATTGATTCTAGAGATTGAAATCTTTTCTAATGGGTGAATGAGTATTAAAATGTGTCTTCAGAAGATTAAAAATATTCCCCCCACTTACCTACATTTTCAGTGTTGAAGTTCTCACTATTCTTGCATCTCCTGTTCCTTTTCCAGCTAGCAGAAGTCTATGGCCCTGTGTTCACTGTGTATATTGGCATGAAGCCCACCGTGGTGTTATATGGATATGAAGCAGTGAAGGAAGCTCTGATTGATCAGAGTGAGGAGTTCTCTGGCCGAGGCAGTTTACCAATAGTAGACAGAATCAACCAGGGATTAGGTACGCTTCTATCTCGGGAGTATGTGGCAGTTTGTTCATTTGAAAGATTCAAAGAGGCTAAGGACCAGACCTTGACACAACATTGTCAGCAGACTATACTTCAATTAAAAAAAAACAACAACAGGCTAAGGAATTGAGAAATTATAAGTAATTAGAGAAATCTGTGAAAACATCGTAAGTCCAGCATTTTCTAAAAAAGGTCATTAATCCATATTTAAAATGATGAAGGTGACATTATCATTAAACATTAAATGCAATGAAATCAAACCATTTAACCACTAATGTTCTACGAATTTGTGACTAAGCTATGTTCATTTAAAATTATGGCCAGTTAAGATAATGAGAAAGAGACAGAGATAAAGAGAAAGGAGGAAAATGAGTAGATTATTCCTATTCATCAAACATTTTGCTTTCTGGCCATATTCATGGTTGTTAAGAGACTATTTTAGGAAGCTTCCATACTATGCATGGAACCAACGAAGGTGTGGAATATTTCCAACCTTGCCTTCAGTTTTTTTGTTCTTCTAACAAAAAGCATAAGAAATATTTGTAATCAGTAGACTGCTAAACATAAAGCACAAAGATGCTCCGAAAAGAGGATCATGGAGAAACATAGTAAGTATGGATTGGAATATCAGTTGGAGTTGATATTAAAAATGCTTTTAAAGTTAAGTATTAAATTGTTTCTGTAGCTGAAACTGTCCAGTCCTCTGATGGGACACTGGGTTTCTGCAAAAAGAGATAAGGCTTCCATAAGGTAATTT